TGACCACCTGCTATTCCCTGGCATCCACCTCATTCCATGCCTATTTTCAGTTTAAAGAAATAAAGAGTGTAGATAAATAAAGCTGGGCTCAACCACAAGTGTCCACAGGGTCTATTCCATGAATAGATGTCTTCGCATTTCCTGGAGTTTTGAAATTTCACTTTTTAAAATTATCTTAATTTTCTGTATTATAAAAGTTATATATGAGCCAGGCACTGTATTACATCCCCATATTCCCAGCTACTCGGGAGGCCACCCTGGGCAGTGTAGCAAGCCCTTGTCTCCTAATAAATAAATAAAAATAGTATATGCACAATATAAAGAAAAGCAAAATGTTAAAAAAAGAAAATAGTAATTATTGATCTGTCACTTAGGAATAGCACCCATTAACAGTCATGTGTTGGTTAGCTTTCTGTTGCTGTGAGGGCAAACACCACAGTGGAGGTGAGCTTTATTCATGGTGTTAGGGTTTGAGTTCATGGTCAGCTGTCTCCAGTGCTCTTCGCCTTATGGCGAAGGCAGAAACATACCTTGGTGGTGGAAACCTTGGTGCTTTAGACATTGAGGGCACCGAGAAGAGAGAGAGAGAGAGAAAGAGAGAGAGAGAGAGAGAGAGAGAGAGAGAGAGAGAGAGAGAGAGAGAGAGAGGAGGGGGCCAGGGGCCACATCCGCGCCCCAGGTCACACCCCAAGTCCACTGCCTTCAGCTAGGCCCACCTCTTTCTGTCACCCTCCAATAAAGCCACAAGTGACGACCTCACCAGTGGGTCACCCCTCCGAAGAAGTGAGCCAGTCCCTTCCTAGAAGGCTGTCAAGAACCAAGCCTTCAACTCGGTGACCTTTTTGGGTGGATCCCAGCCGTAACAGTTGGAGCCCAAATGTAACAATTGTAGAACATTTTCTTCTAATCTGTCTGAGTGTGTGTGTGTACACAGGTATGGGTCTTTATTCTATATATACTATTTTGTATTCTGCTTTTAATTTATCATGCCATTTGAACAAGTGTTTATGAATAATTACTGCATTACATTCTATAACATTTGCTTCATTATTATGTGTACTTAGTCTCCAGTTCCCTTAGTAACAGCACCTGGACAAAGAGCTATGTTTAGTTATATGTCTTTTCTTCTCTTCTTTTTTTCTTTTTTTTTTTCCTTTGGTACTGGGAATGGAACTCAGGACCTTGAACTTGTCAGGCCAGAGCTTATGCCACTGAGCTGTGTGCTTGGCCCTAGTTACGTTTCTGAGTCTTCAGTCTAGTCTGTTTTCTTCTGGAGAGCTAGTTGCACACCCTATAGTATGCGGACTTTCTGGTGGCTTTTGTGCTTCTCTGATGCCCATCTTCCCATCCCCTTTGCTTTCTCCAGCTGGGAGAGAGGCTGAGCACATGTCCTCTCCATGGGGAGAATCTTCTCCAGAAGAGCTCCGTTTCGGGAGTCTCACCTACAGTGACCCTCGGGAGAGGGAGCGCGACCAACACGACAAAAATAAAAGGTGATCACCTTCTTGGGGACTAGCTGCAGTTCTGGACTCAATCCTCCAAAATCAGGCGTCTTGCTTTAAGAATGGAATATTAAATACCATGTGGTGTCAGGCTTTCTGCCTTTTTCCCTCCTTCTGTCCCTCCCCTCACTTCCTTCCTCTCTCTTCCTCATTTTCTGCCCTTCTCCCCCACGTGGGGGTGGGGTGTTATCCAGTGCCTTTGCATCCCTAACCCACTTTAAATTTTGAGACAGTCTCACAGACTTGTTCAGGTTGGCTTTGAACCCACAATCTTCCTGCCTCTGCACCCCTCTGTAGTGCTGAAATTGCTGGCCTACACCACTACCACACCCAGCTTTGAGCTTGTTTTTTCTTTAAGGAAGTAATAGGAAATCTTTTCAATTTATTCAGGCTTTTGGACCCTGCCAACACCCAGCAATTTGATGACTTTAAGAAATGCTATGGAGAAATCCTCTACCGTTGGGGTCTGAGAGAAAAACGAGCAGAAGTGCTGAAGTTTGTGTCCTGTCCTCCTGATCCTCACAAAGGGATTGGTGAGTATGAATTTTTTCCGTTTCCTGTCCCTGACTGGAAGGTTCTGTCACTTCTTTTGTCATAGCCTCAGACTTGAGGTAAAGTTTCAGCTTTTCATGATAAGCAGAAATCTCTGGAGTATTTGAGTCTGTTTCAAGTTCCTGAAAACCCTCGCATTTCATAACAAGATTAAATTGTTTTTGGAAAAGAAGTAGATTGAGGCCCAGAACCAATCCGAGGGAGAGCTAAGCTATTTGTTCACTCACTTGGCTAATGCATTTCAAGCCTCACTCGTGCTCACACATTCCTTCCTCTTGTGGAGTTGGCAGCTGAGTGGGGGGAAATTAAGTAATTGCAAATCATGACAAATGTTTTTGTTTTTTTATGACAAATGTTGAAGAGATAAAACTGGTGTTAGGGCAAGGAGAGCAGGAGATGGGGAGATGCAGAGTATTGGGAAGGCCATGCCCAATTGATGAGGTCCAGGGGATGAGAAGGAACCACCAGCCAGAGCAGCAAGAAGGGTAGCATTCTATACAGAGGGAGCAGCCCACAGAGAAGTGACTTGTCACTTGGAAGGGGTAAAAGAAGGCCAGTGGCTGGAACACCGCAAGCAAGAAGTGGAGTAAAATTAGGGTGGGATGGGTAGCCGAGCACAGTGGTGCACCCCTGAAATCCCAGCACTTGGGAGACTGCGGCAAGAGGATTATAACTTTGAAACCAGCCTGGGCAACATAATAAATTCAGGTTAGCCTGTGCTACCTTATTTTTTACAAGTAAGAGAAAGAGTGGGGCCAGGGAGATAGCACAGTAGAATAAGCGCTTCCCTGGCAAAGTGCAAGGGCATGAGTTCAATCCCCAGTTCCCAGTTCTGCAAAAGAGAAAAAGAGGCACACATCTGTACTCCCAGCACTAGGGAGGCTGAAAACAGAAGGATCACTGCAAGTCTGAGCTGTATAGTGAGACACTGTACCAGATACATGAAAAAAATAAAAAAGAAGAAGAAAGAAAAATATGAAAGAGAGAGAGGGAGAGGGTATAGACGTGCATTTGGGCAGGAGTATTAACTTTTTTTTTAGTAAGGTTCTACAGGATCTACAGGATCTCACTACATAGA